TCTAATAAGCTATGAATCTAATAAATTAATATTGATATAAGTAAATTATAATTCAAATTTAAAAAAAGAAAAAAAAACTAAACTGGTATCAAAAGTAATAGAAAATTATTTATAATATTAAAAAACTTTGATTTTTTAAAATTCTTACTTATTTTTGCTATTCTAAATCATTTAATATCTTCTTTTATTCTATTATGACTATATAAAATAAATAAAATACAAGTTAGCAGATTAATATTATCTTTGAAACTTTTTTTATAACTTTAATATGTTGAAGGGTAAAACTGAATTTAAATATTAACATATCATTTTAACAATTTTTATAAATTTCATATTTAAATATTACATAAATAGATAATCTTGTACTATAACAAATTTTACAATATACTAAAATATTATACCTTTTCTTATTTAAATCAGTATATAAAAAACTTGTTGTTTTAAACTCTCAATATTATGACTTAATATTACTGAACTAGACAATTCGTTATAAAGAGTTCTGACTGTATATTAATGACTTATTTTTAAATTTAATATTTTGATTTTTAAATATATTTTTTTTTAATTATCTATATTTATTTTAATATTTAATTTGATATTTAATTTTTTTGAATATATGTTTTTAATTATTAATTTTTATTTTTATTTTTTTTTTAAATTTTAAAGAATTTTTTAATTTATTATATTTTTAGTTTTTTTTGATTAAATTTTTAATTAATAAATATTTAAATTTATTCTTAAAATATTGTATAATTTAAATTAAAATAATCTTTTATCTATAAGAGATATTTTATTTTTAATAAATTTTTAATATTTAATTTTAAATTTTCTTCAAATATTAATTTTTTAATTAATTTTTTTAATTACTTAATTCGTAAGATTTTTTAAATTAAAATAATTGAAATAATTGAAATTTTATTTTATTTATTTTTTTAACATTTCAATTAAAAATTTTTTTAATAATTAGTTAAATAAAATAAAAAACAGTTCTATAGGATTAAACTATACTAAAATGTGATTTTACATTCAATTTATCAGTATTTTAATAATAAATTATTCTAATTTTTTAAGATTATAATCCAATTTTCTAATATTTTAAATAATAAATACATTTAATTCTCAATATAATATTTAAAAATCTAATATCTGATCCTAGAAATCTAAAACTTAGTTAGTAAAGAGGTATAATATTTTTTTATAGTAAAGATAATAGCATTTATATATAAATAAAATAAAAGTAATAAAAAAATTGATTTATAATCATTTATTAATTTTATTTTAAAAATTAAAATATAAAAATTAAATTAAAATTTTTTTATTTAAGATAAAATGAAATATTTTCTAATTTATATAATTAAATGAAAATAATTAGTATATAAAGAATACATTTTATCTTAACATATTTATTTAATTTTAAAAAAAAAGTTAAATAGATTTTGAATTAATAAAGTGATATATAATAATTTTAATAATATAAAAATAATAATAAAACTACTAAATCAATTTTAATAATTTTTGATTTTTTAAAAAAGATTTAGAAAAATTAGTAAAAAAAAGTTTAAAAAAATGGTTATTTAACAGTAATTTTTAAGTAATTTAATCAGTTTATTAACTTTTAGATATAGTAATTAAATTATTTAAGAATGTATAATATTTATAAAATAGTTAATAAAAATGTTGATTAAACTACTAAAGATAATCTTCATCAGTATATAAAATTTAAACCAAAAGTCATGTGTATAAGTTGTACTAAAAATAAAAAATTAATGCATGTATTACATAGTATTTCCATTTTTATAAATAATTTATACATTTTTATATATAATTTATCTATTTTTAGTAATTATTTGTGTACATTTTATGCTGTGTAATATGTGCATAAAAAAATTTAATATGCACATATGCACATTATGTATATGAATTTTACACACTGATCTTCATCATATTAAATTTAATGATATATATAAAAAATAAAATAATTTATTAAAAATTATATAGTTAATTAACTTAAATAGGATTTTTATTATTAAAAGAACATTAACCTTACATTAAATTTAAAATGAAAGATAACTCAAGAAATGATTTTAGTTAGAGATTTAAATGAATCAAAGTATTTACAAAAGAAAAGAAAAAGTTCTTTATTTTATATTTAATTTTATAAAGCAAATTTCTGATAAAATAATATTAATTATTTTAAATTTTATTATATATTAATACTTAGATATACTGTAAATGATGATGGTAATTTTGTAATAATAAAGATAAAATCATTTTTTATTTTATTTTATTTTATTTTTTTTTTATAAATTTATTTAAGAGTATTTATTTTTAGCAAATATAATGTAATTATAATTTTTCAGAAAATTATATAAAGTATAATTTTTTTAATAATTTAATTTTTTTTATTTTAATATAAAAATTATATTAAAAAATATAAAATAAAAAAATGATAAATGTTTAAATATTATTTAAAAATTTTGAAATTAAATATAATATTTTTTTAATTATTTATAATAATGCTATAAATACCTGCCATAATTTTCTTAGAATAGTTTTATTATATTCTTATTAAACTTTAACAGTTTTAGTTTGCATTATAAGAGTTTTAACAATTATTAAAAACTTTATCTTCATCTATAAATAACACTATTTAAATAATAAACTTAATAAATTAATTTTTGAAATAAGTTAAATTATATGTTAAAAAACTATGATAAAATTTGTAAAACATTTTAATAATAAAAAATAGTTTTGATAAGTATGATTAATTATTTATTTTAAATGTTTAATTTATAAATAATAATAAATTTAAAATATTAAAATATTTAAAAATTAAAATTAATTATAAACATACATTTTTTAAGTATTCATTTTTAATAATAATCAACTAAATCCTAAAACCTAAAATAAATTTTATATTACAGATACTGAATATTTCTATATTCTTTCTTTTTTTATACTTGCAAATAGGGATGTTAAGCGATCATAAGCGGTCCTAAAAGTTCCAATAAAATTATAAAGAATTATTTTTGAAATTTATTATTAAACTTTTCTATTATAGTGTTTTAATGAGTTATTTAAAGAAAATAAATAATAAATCCCAGAATTTCTTGAAATTTAAAATTTAAGGATTTAGGACCGGTCCTATATTAGCTGTCCTATCAAATTGCCAATTTTGAATACCAATTACGCTTTTTACAAATTAATTATAAAATATTTATTGACAATTTTGATGGGGTTATTTATTATAGATAAGTGATTAGACTTCTCTAGAGTTAGTAATCGTAAGGACCGGTTAAGGACCACTCAACATCACTACTTGAAAAAAGATCGACTCGAATACTTTATTATTCGTGTGATTGACCGGCAATTCGAAAGGTCCGTAGTCAATCTACATATAATTGTTTCATATAAAAAATTTGATTAGTTGCATCGTTGACGGTTTCGAAATCATTTTCGGTCGAGACCCTTTTGGAACTGCCGAAACCCAAATTTCGATAACAATGAACCTAATATTTCTGTTTTTGCCAAAATTTTCGTTAGGTACTGAGCTCGTATAATATAAAGGTGCTTCTTTTTAATTCTACGCAGAATTTTATTTCTTACAATCCAATGTTCTTTGTAGAATTTAAAATTCTTCAAGGTAAGGTTTGTAGAGAAATCAAAAAAATTTTGGGAATTACTATCGAAACAACTGGTTCACATTTAATTTACAAAATGAGAGTCTATTTCTATTCTTGAAAATCATTGAAAAATGACAATTAATAATAGTAAAAATATAATGATGATGATGTACAGTTGCATTGACCTTTTTATTTTTTCTTGTGAAGCCACAAATTAAATACTAAAAAAATTTCACCCATTACGGTGACAATCGTTTTTGTCGGTTAAACCTTTAATACTGGCATAAAATGTTTCGGGTAAGTTTTTAAATAAGTTATTGGTTTCGTGTCATTTATTGTAACTTGAACGTCAATCGTTAAATGAATACGTGTATTTCAGGGGACTTCACGTTTTTTTTTTCTTTAATAAAGAATCATTCAACCAATAACTAGCTTATTGTTGATCGATACAATTACGGACAAATTTAATACATGGTAAGAATTCTGTTAGGAAGGCTTTGAAGGCTCTCCCCATTTACACACATTAAAATCTAAAAATAAAAAATAAAAAAAAAAGTTTTTTTGCCGACTCGAAAAAAATTTGACGGAGTCTATAGTCATAAGATTATATTTGGAAAATTTATGATCGATCGAAAGGTTCTCTTACTCTTTATTTACAACAATTAATATAATTGATTGTTCCAATATATCAACTTAAGTTATTTGTAACAACAAAACACAAATTTATATAACAGTTATGATCAAAAGTTCTATTTAGAATATGATATGTGTTACAAATAATCAAATAATCAAAGAACAAAGTATTTATAAAATGGAATGATTTACCTTTTTTTTTTTGTATATAAAAACATCCTTTCCATAATTTTTTACCTTTTTTTTTAAAAAAAAAAACAAATTTGTAAATCCTTTTTATTTCCTTTTTAATAAACATTCGAAAGAATTCACGAAATAAATTAATATTATAGACAAATTGATTAAATTGCTGTGTAACCTTGTTACGATATTTTAACCACGCAGTTTAACCGATTTCGGTGCCAAATAAATTCCGCGGGTCAATAAACTTTATTTCAAATACAAAATAGTACATAAAAGCACATTCTTTTCATTATATAAGAACCGCTTTTGTTTATTTATTTTAATATTTTTAATTATTTTTCATTCATTCCTTTTTTATTTTACAGGTATCCATTACTTTATATATAGATATATTTTTTTTTTTTCTATTTTTTCGTCAAAAGAATAAAACGAGATTTCTTTTAAATTTCTAAATAGAAATCCAAAATATTATTTATTGTAGATAATTTGATTCATTTATCATAAATATTTCCAACGACTGTTCGTTTTTTAAACGCTATCAAAAGAAAGTAAATTTCAACGATGGAAACAACGTCACGATATCCTAGATTCCACAAATATATTACAAGAGTATACTTGGTAATAATATGTTTGCTTGCAATTAGTTTACCAATATCATACTTGATTAGAAAACAACCTACTGTAAGGGATATCATTGGAATAATCATTGGTGTATTACTTTTTTATGTCGTTTATTGGGTATGCTAAAAAATTTTTTTTATCTTTTCTTTCTCAGAGTAACCTTTCTAAACTTTTTTTTTCTCATCTCTCGTTCGTATATAGCTAATAGTAAGATTAAATTGTTATGGAACGCCATTACAAGGAGGGACATCAACATCAAATAATAATAATAATAATAATAATAATAGTAATAGTAATAATAATAATAATAACAATTCAACATCATCATCACGTTCGTCAACGAATGGTGGAGATAGCAATACGAATCATCATCCAACATTCGCCATTTATAGATTAGGTGGATTATCTGACAGATTACGTCGATTTGGCAGTAGTCAAAGTAGCTATAGTACTTCTACTGCAAATGATGATGAGATTAATTATGATTTAGAAGAAGCATTGAGACCTCCTCCCCCGAATTATAATATTGCTTTAGGAGGTGCTGGTTTGCCTCCTCCATATCCGAATGATTTTATAGAAGGAAATACACAAAACTCCGAAAGTAATAACACGTCCCCCCCACAAATGAGTGAAAGATTTGTTCCTCCAAGACGTCCTGTACCTTCTATTCCATCATCAAGTTCTCTAAGGCGCCCTGTTCATCTAATACCATCACTACCACCATCATCTTCACAATCTACATCACAAGATGGCTCTTCTCCTATAATAGTTGATTCACCTCTTAGACGTTCAATACCTCAATCATCGAGGCGTACTGTGCCTTCAATTCCCACTTCTTCGTCATCAACAACGACAATAACGTCATTAGATAACAAACCACAACAACCAAGACGTCCCGTTCCTCTTACTCCCACATCATCATCATCGAGTTTATACAAAAGTATAAATCAGCAGCATCAATAACAATAGAACAATACAAAACTCAATTTAATTAACAAATAAAATTCTTAATGATAATTTAATTCTATATAGAGAATTCGAGGACGAAGTGAGAAAAAGAAATTATACATCGAGATACTCAATATGATTTCAATATGAATACACAAGGAAGAATAGTATAAAAAGACATTCTTTTTAATAAGAGTTGAAGGTGGTTGATTTAAAATCAATTGTAAATTTAATTAAATGTATAATATATTTAATCAAACAAAAGTACATATATATATTATGTTTATATTTATTTATTTTTTTTTTTTAAAAAAAAAAAAGTTAATATATAAAGAAAATTTTGTAAAGAATAAAATTTTGAAGTAAATATCACAAAATGTAAACCATCTGTCCCAATTTTTTTTTTACATTTGATGATAAAATGTAAAACGAATTATTTTCGAGTTTCACAATAATAAGCTAACGCGTGGCGCAGAACTTTCATTTTTTGGCGCGCAAATTTTTTTTTATATAAAGTGATGAATTTTCTTATTGTTCGTCTCATTGATACAAACATTCTGGCTGAATAAAACTTATACATTATGTTGATGCAATTATATCATAAATTTGGAAAATCATATATAAATGAATCTAAACTCGATGTAGGTTAATTGTATATACATAGAGGAACTTATTGATACATATTAGATTATGTTTATTTCTTAATTATTTTTTTTTTTTTTTTTAATTTTTAAAAAAAAACCAATTTAAGCATTCTTTTAAACCGAAATTTGCTAAACAGTTATTTTTATATGTCACATTATTTATTATATGAAAGTTGATAAAAAAGAAAAAAAAAATTTTTTTTTTTCTTTTTTTTTTTTCAATTCGATTTCTTTCCGTACGAAAATTCAAAAAATAATAATATCATATATATATATAATTAATTATTTATTTATTTTTCACAAATGATTTATTCAAATATAATAATAAGAATAGTTTATTTAATTTTTTTAATTTTAAACAAATCTATATTAGTATATTCAGCAAAAAGCTCTGGTGGATCAGGAGCTTTTATTTATGTTAATGCCGAGGGAAATAAATCATGCTCAAATTTATGTATAGCAATATTTTCATTAATCGCTACAGGAGTGGCGGTAGCGGTATCAGCTTGTTGCTATCTGTGTCATAAAAAATTTGTTAAAAAAGAAAAGTTATTACCTTCTTCCGTCACAAATGATACGCTTGATTTAGAAGGACAACCGACGTTACCATCATATGATTCACAACCACCTGCTTATTCGGAATTAAGACATTCTAATTCATCATCACAATTACCTCATTCCGAAGCATTTAAGGATGCCGAAGGTTTCTTTAAGAATAATCAACCATCTAATTCATTACCTCCTGATAATGTAATACAAGAGTTATTAAAACAAGATACTTATTCTTCTTGGAAATTTCTTCCTGAAAAAATTCTCGAGCAACTAGAAATTATTTTGAGTAATGAAGATGGAAGAGAGCTAACATTTAATAATTCCAAAAAGAAAGGATTAAAATATAATGAAATCATTGTACAATCCAATTTACCTTTCTTTAATCCAAAAAAATGTATTGATAATGAAAAAAGAGAAGTTGAAAAGAATGAAGAAGATTACGAATTACATTACTTTGAAATTTCCATCATTGAAAAATCCGATGATGTAACAAAGGTTGCTATTGGGCTAACTACAAAACCCTATCCGTATTATAGGTAAGATACCATGCGCAGTAATTTTAATGGTTGGATTTCAATCACTTTAACCACCTATGTTTTTTTTTTCATGATTCGCTTCAGAATGCCCGGTTATAATAAATACTCGATCGGTTATCATTCAGATAGTGGACATAAGTACCAAGATTCTCAATATGATTCGCAAGAATACGGACCAAAATGGGGTGAATCGGGGGATACTATTGGATGCGGGTACAAACCATCTTCGGGAGAAGTTTTTTTCACAAAAGATGGTGAATATTTGGGAAAAGCTCATTCATATAATGATGAAAAACTTGTATGGTATCCGACTGTTGGTGTGGAAGGAACCTGTAAATTGGAAGTAAATTTTGGTGATAGTCATTCTATGTTTAAATATAAACCGGCTAGAAGCTTTGGTCCTGGTGCCCAGGGTGGCTGGTTATATAAACATTTAAGTCCTAAGAAATGGTCTGAAGTGTAGATCACTTTTTATCATTCCTTTGGTTGTAAATATGTTTATATGAATTTCCCCCCTTTTTTTTTGTATTTTTAGTTATTTCATTCAAAATATATTATTATTCATTATTTTCATTTTAATATACATATCTTATACAAATTTTAATAAAAAAATTTATGCTAAATCTAAGTTTATATGTATGAAATTATAATAATAAATCTTTCAATATTATTAAATATGAAATTCAAATTAAATTATATAATTTAAGATATAATTATAAATTAAGAATATATATATATATATATATATGTTTTAGCTATTTAATAATATTAATTTTTTATTCATATTATATAGTATTACTATTTACAATTATATAAATTATATAACATTTTATTAAGATTTATTAAAAAAAAAAATATTTTAATTATTTTAATAATTTTAATTATAAAATTTATATTTTATTATAAACTTAAAATAAATAAAATAAATAGATTTTAATAACATTTAAAATAAAGTAAATAAGTTTAAAATTTTTTTAATTTTTAATTAAATAAATTATAAATATAAGCTAAAAAGTTTTAATAATAAATTTAAAATTAAATAAAAATTTATAATTATTTTTATAAATATTATTTAATATTATATATAAAAATTTTATAGAATATAAAAGCTTATATTATTTATATCAGTATTAATAAATGATCTTTGGATTAAA